TTGCTGAAATTGACTGTGATGTTAGCATTGAAAACGACCCTTTGACATTTACTCAGGCTGTGAAAAGTGGAAACTCCAAATTGTGGCATGATGCCATGGTTGAAGAAATGAACTCAATGGAAAACAACCATTTATGGGAGCTTGTAGAGTTACCTAGTGGGTCTAAAGCCATTGGCTATAAGTGGATTTATAAAACCAAAAGAGACTCACAAGGTAACATTGATTGTTCAAAGCAAGGTTGGTTGCTAAGGGTTTCACACAAGTGGAAGGAATCGATTATAGAGAAACCTTTTGTCTTGTATCAAAGAAAGATTCTTTCCGCATCATCATGGCATTGGTTGCACATTTTGATTTGGAGTTACACCAAATGGATGTTAAGACTGCCTTTCTCAATGGGGACCTTGAGGAAGAGGTTTACATGAAGCAACCTGAGGGATTTGTTGCAAAAGACAAAGAACATATGGTGTGTAATTTAAAGAAATCGATCTATGGTCTAAAGCAAGCTTCACGACAGTGGTATTTAAAGTTCTATGAAGTGATCACATCATTTAGTTTCAATGAGAACATCATGGATAAGTGTATATACCACAAGGTTAGTAGGAGCAAAATCATATTTCTGATTTTATATGTCGATGACATATTGCTTGCAACCAATAATTTGGGACTATTGCACGAGGTAAAACAATTCTTGTTTAAGAACTTTGATATGAAGGATATGAGTGAGGCATCTTATTTCATTGGCATTAAGATCCATAGGGATAGGACTCAAGGCCTTTTAGGTCTGTCTCAAGAAGCCTATATAAACAAGGTTCTTGAACGATTCATAATGAAGAATTATTCTACTAACGTGACTCCTCTAGAAAAAGGAGATAAGTTTAGCATAGATCAATGTCCAAAGACCGAGCTTAAGAAAAGGGAAATGGAAAAGGTCCCATATACCTCAGCGGTAGGAAGCTTAATATATGCACAGGTCTGCATAAGACCTGATATAACTTTTGCTATGGGCATGCTGGGAAGGTACCAAAGTAATCCTAGTGAGGCACATTGGATAGCTGCAAAGAAAGTGTTTAGATATCTATAGGGCACTAAACACTATATGCTTACATATAAGAGGACAGAGAATCTAGAAGTGATTGGTTACTCAGACTCTAATCTAGGAGGATGCTTGGACACATACAAGTCCACAATTGGTTACATCTTCCTGTTAGCAGAAGGAGCTATTTCATGGAAAACTGTAAAACAGACACTAACTGCTCCTTCCACTGGTGACACTGAGTACATTGCATGTTTTGAGGCAAGCTTACAAGCAATCTGAATCAAGAATTTCATTGTGGGGCTTAAGATTGTGGAATCAGTCTCTAGGCCGATTAGAATTTACTGTGATAACACAGCTGCAATGGCCATATCCAACAATAAAAAGAATAAGAGTCGAAGTAAATTCGTCGATCTGAAGTTCCTTTGCTTGAAAGAAAGAGTTATGGATGGCCAAATTTCAGTTGAACATATCAATATAAAGAGTATGCTAGCAGATCCTTTAACGAAAGGATTGAAACCGAATGAATTTGTTTTTCATGTGCCTCACATGGGACTTCGTCCTTCATTTGATTAGCTGAGGTATGAGCAATGAAATTAGTTTATGGTTTATCATCTCTAATTGTAATTGTATATACATACGTGTTTTGAGATTGATAGGCATAAGTCAGGAACCGAATAAACATTGAGTTTATTCACGAAGGTATACCCATTAAGTAAGGGTGCTGCTTGTAATGCATGGAAGGCAATACCTAAGTTAAGGGGACTTGTCGCCATGATTCTTGCAGTATAGCCTTAGCTTATCTGGGATAGGGCAATTGACATACAGTACACGGGCCAAGTGGGAGAATGTGAGATATTTTATTATTATAAATTATTTAGGTATTAATTAGGAATTAATAAAATATCCTGAGTGTGGCCCGTGGTCAAGAAAAAGGCCCAAGCCCAGTAGGGTTATGATTTTCAGTCAATAATGTATTTACTCTGATGGAGAGTTTTTACAATTAAGGTTTTGACGGCTGAAACTTTTAGAGCGATACATTCAAAAATAGAAAACCCTATATGCTCCTTGAGGTTCCCTGATTGGTGATGGCTGAACCCGGTTGCCATCACTATGCCTATCTGCCAATCAGAAGAGACCTGAATCAATTTTCTTCTGACTCTAATCCATCTTGCAGCTCTCAGATTAATTAAGTAATAGCTATGGCGAGAGGTAACTCTAATCTTAAAGTCTTCCGCTGTATGTTTTATGAGAGGATTCATTTTGCATTATCTGGATTGAATATATTTTATATATATGTTATTTTTGAATCTGTCTTATAGATATCACTTCTTGCCAATGACTCGTGAAAATCTTTTTGTGAGCGCAACACGCTTTTACTGATTGACTCAACAAATCAAAAGTTACCGCTATCTGAAGAAAAGAAAATATAAGAGGTAGATCCGCCATCATCAAGTGATATACCCTTTTGGAATTAAATAATCTCCTTTACCTTGTATATAAGACTATAAGTGCTTATTTGAATTAACAGTGAATAATTGTGATTTTATATGATCATGATTTTTATAAATGACTCTGTTAAAAGTGAGGTTATTTAGTCGTTATTTTTGTATGGATACTTTTTTTTTCAAGTGATATTGAGAATGTGAATTATGTTTGGATTTTATTTATTAAAATCACTTATAAATAGATAATTACCAAAAAGTAATAAGGATGGGTACGAGAAATATAACTTACTATAGTTCTCATAATCAATTATTATTATTTTACTATAATTTTAATTTGATAATTATTATTAATAAGGGTAGATAGGAAAAATTCTAGTTGCCAAACCTGTATCATGATTTTTCAATCTCAAAAGCTACTCCTAGTAGCTTATGCTCAAATGTGTCAATAGGATTAAAATTATGATTTATCAAGATTTCAAAAAAATTGAGTCAAATGGGATAAATGGGCTTTATAATCATTTATTTGAGTTTGAACAGGCTTATTTGAATTCTCACAACTTAACTAACTAGGCAATAGGTCAAGCTCTTTTTTATTATTATTATTATTGCCAAAACAGATCTTTCGTCAGTATAGTGCATGGGATATATAAATATGAAAAATAATATCAACCTATAACTAATAGTATATTTATTTTGAGGAAAAATTGCATTGAGCTCCTATAAAAGACAAAATATTGTAGAAAGGTCTCTAAACATTTAATAATTACTTTAGACTCTTAAAGGGACTTGACTGCAATAATGAAAAAGGTCAAAAGACATTTTAGTTCCTAGTACAGAAAAAATGTTAGAAATATAGAGTTGTCAATGTAAACAGTAATAGTTGTAAGTCCCGATAGTTGTCAACATTACTAATTTCTTTGTTAATTTATCTTCTAATATAAGTTTGAAAAATGTGATTTTAAGTTACATAATGACAATTAATATTAACATATCTTGTGAAATAATATTTTTTGATGATAATGTGATATAATATTGTTATTAAAAGTCAATTATTACTTATAATATGAAGAGTTAATTAATGACAATTGATTTCATAATTTTATACAAGTGATAATTGATTTTTGAGGACAATATTATATACATTATTATAAAAAAGAAGTATATGATATTTGCAAATGGGTTTTATTTAGGGTCAGAACATAATAGACCCCTTCGAAAGTTTTTAAAAAAATGCAAAACAAAAATCGAGGTCTTCTTTGTCCATATTCCATTCCAAATTCCGATGTTTGCACAGCCAAAAAAGATGGATACGAATTTAATAAGATTCAACAACAAAAATATGGAAATAATAATAAGTTAGACAGAGATCACTCCCTACAAATGTGGGGGGAATTCTTATAATTTCGAGCATGTTTTAATCAAAAAAGGTATTAAATAAATATAATTAGTTTTATTTATATATATGATATAAAATTTGAAACGACAAAAATTGGAAAGAGGAAAACTGAACATAAATATCAATATAAGATGTAAAAATTATAACAGCTACGAAATCAAATTTATTACGATATAGTGTATTCTACAATTTATCAAACTTCTTTTCAATGTTACAAATGATTTATTTTTGTAAGTTTTTGTGTGCGTTAAAGTAGTAAAAATGATGGATATAGTTAATGTGAATTAAAATTTAATAAATAAAAATCCAAAATGTGTTTGCTTCCCTGTGAAAGATATCGTTAAATGGGAAGCTACCGTCTCAGAGCACGAGGAGGAAGAAATTTCCTATCCTAGTGGTGAGCACTATCTATTAAATATTCCTCATTTCATGAAGAGCTCGATTTTATTAATATATTGAAGTCACAACAGATATTGTTCTCCTCCACTCATTCTTCTGTATTCTATCGGAATCATTACCATCAAGTAATTAGATGATATTTGCGGAATACTCCTTTATTTTTCAATATTTACAAGTAGTTTTTTAAATATATTTTTCCCTGAAAAAAAAACTTAAATCTCGTCAACTCTGTTTTGAAATTAATAATTCTTCAACTTTATTTTTTATTTAATATATAAATTTTTTCAGAAAATAATAATATATGGGATAATATATAAATTTTTTAAGAAAATATTAAAATGATATAACCTGAAAATAGAACTGAATAAAATCTTTTCTGTACCTTATAAATAGAATAAGTGAAATATGTAAATACTCTTTGAAATTATTCCACTCAATTCCATTAGTACAGACACCCAATATGTGCGTAGTGAAGAGTGCACTGTTTAGCCAAAAGTTTATTTGGACTATAAACGTGCACTTATTTTTTAATTAGCCAGTAATTAATAATCAAAGCACATTTTACAGAACTTTTATTCTTTTAATTTTAAGATTCTGTAATTACTTTATTGCCGTGGTCATCCCGCTCCGTTCGCGGGGCTACAGATTTGGGATTAAGAACAAAAGACTTCCCAGCACGCTTTACATTACGGATTTGGGCTCATGAATCCGTCACAATTGAATATAATTTTTGAATATTGGTAGTATGATAATGAAATTCATAACACAATAAACCTACCAACAGACTCATGCCAATAAAGATTACAATAAAATTACAGCCCCAATACAGAATACGTAATCCCAAAACTAAAAGAAGTAACAAAAGAGGATGATGCAATACAAGTCTGGATGCCATCCTTCTTATTCTTCTTGCCTTCTATTGATTCCTACCACACTATATGGCTACTTGAACAAACTATTATATGACACTCGCCGCAGAATCTGATAACAAAGAGTTTTGTTTGGGCTGTTGAAGATAAACCCTAAGCTGCCAAGCTCCAGCTGATATAATTACAATGGGCAATAAAACAATTAAAACTAAAGTAGTAATCTAAAGCTTTTGTTAATAGATAACAACCATAATTAAGAAAATATTACCTTTTAATTGTGAAGCCACCTACGCCATCTTGCCACAAGAAGCACTGATGCCACATAAATAGAGTCTGACAACTTGCCTGTGAAATTGAAGTAGGCATGCCTCCATGATCGAATAGCTAACAATGATCCAAACACTATACAAAATCCAGCAGCAAATCCCATGCCCAAGCTTGCGTAGAATCCCTTCATGAAAGTGTCATCTTCATCAGCAACTTGGGTAGCTTGTGTTGCATTCCCTAGTGGATGATCTTCAGAAGGACAAAGCTTGTCCAACGGCCTCCCGCAAAGGTAAGGGTTTCCTTCATAGCTGAAGGGCTCAAAAGATTGCAATTGCGTTCCTATTGGAATTTGTCCTGTCAAGTTGTTGTTTGACAAATCCAAAGTGCTTAGGGAAGATATTTCAGCAAGACTTGAAGGAATTTCTCCATCAAAATGATTTCTTGATAGATCCAGAGCTTCTAGAGATTTTAGTTGTCCTATCTTTGAAATGATTTTTCCACCCAACTTATTTGATGATAGATTCAGGAATCTCAACTCAACCAATTTCACAATTCTTGTTGGCATTTCCCCTTCCAATTGATTGTGAGAGAGGTCAATGTTCATAAGCCCATAGCGGTCATTGTACATCAATTCTCTTCCTTTCCACACCATAGGCAACTTCCAATCAAAAAATTCATTTGCTTGAATTGCTCCGTTCTCAACGGGGTTGATATAATAATTGAAATGATGCATAACATATTTTTGAGCCATTGCAACTAGCTTGTTGAGGCAACTTGGTATTGGTCCAGTAAACTTGTTAAAAGAGAGATCCAAAACCCTAGCCTTTGGTAAATAACATAGATGCAAGGGCAGCTTTCCATCTAATTTATTCATCCGTAGGCTAACGGTTTCCAACTCTTTTAGATTGTCTCTTGTCCATGAAGGTGGTATTGGTCCTGACAAGTCATTTTTTTCCAAATCTAACATTCCTAGTTCAGTTGCATTTTCAAAGGAAGGCAGTCCACCACTGAGGCAATTGTTTCGCAGAACTAACTGCTTAAGTTGACTTAAGGACCCCATAGAGCTAGGAATCCTTCCTGAGAGTTGATTATTGGATAAGTCAAGAATCCTTAATGATTTGAAATGATCCCAACAAGCAATAAGTTTTCCTGATAAGTTGTTGCTTGAGAGATTTAAAGCTACCAAATTTTCAACAATTGCACTCCTTCCCTTGCCACATGAATGAACAAATTTTGAAATTAGGTTTTCTGAAATGTCTACAATTCGGCTCTTTAGTAGGAACGGTGGAACAGAGCCTCTAATTTGATTGGAAGCCAATGATATGTCATAAACATCAAATTCAATTGGCAGATCTGGAATTACACCTGTGAGATTGCTTGATTCTATTTGAAGCCTACGCGCTCCTTTTACAAGCCTCCAGAACCATTCTGGTATAGAATCATTGATTCCAGCATCATAAACAAATAAAGATTGTAAATTATTTTGATTACGAAGCCATCTAGGGAATCCGGGGCCCAACTTACAGTGCCATAACCATAACCCCTTTAATTGAAATGGAGGAATCCAATCACTGCTAAATTTGAGGGTCAAGAAATTATTAGATAAGTCCAAGCGTTTTAACTTGGTGAGATTATCAAAATGGATGTCACTGATTGTTCCATTTAGCTCATTATCACGAAGGTAAAGAGTCCCTAAAGAGTTCATGTTTTTTCCAAAATCAATGGGAATGGGACCACCCAAGTGATTATTGGACAGAGAAAGGTGTGTGAGATTAGAGCTTAGATTGAACAGCCAAGGGAATAATGATGATGTTAGCTTGTTGTCCTTGAGAGAAAGAGTTAAGAGAGATGCAGAAAAATTCAAATGGGATGGAGGAGTTGATAGAATATTATTGTCTGTCAAGCTACAGTTTACAAGCCATAGCTCTTTCAGGTTTGGAAGCCTTCCAATAATTGGAAACAAGTTGTTAGAGTAATTAAGATTCGAAACATCGCTTAAATCAAGTGAAGTCAATGACCGAAGATTGGAAAGCCACCCAATGGCAACCAAGCTCTTGTCATCAATTTTCAAACCATCATTGTCACCAAGCCAAAGTATTTCCAAGCTCGAAAGATTACCAAGTTGGCTAGGAATATTGCCCACTAAATAATTCCCGTCTAGATGGAGCTCTTGCAGACTTGAAAGGTTGGCAAGATGAAAAGGTATACTACCAACTAAAATATTGGAGGAAAGATTTAGAACCTGCAAGTTTGAAAGCTTGCAAAGTTCAATTGGTATCTTACCGCCAAAATAAGACCAATCTAGATCGAGATGTTTTAATTTGGTGAGAGAACCAAAAAATTTTGGGATTTGACTCCCATTGAAATCGTTGTAACTAAGATCCAAATAATTTAAGTTGTGCAAGTCTAGCAATGATGGGCTAATCTCACCTCTTAAAGGCTGCGAGGGCAACATGCCACCATAAAGATGAAGCATCTCAATGTGGCCAGTATGAGGATTACAGAGAACACCACTCCAATAGCAACAATCTGGAGAAGAGCCCCATGAGGACAGACGACCATAATCATCCACAAAAGCATTCTTCATGCTGAGAAGAGCTCGTCTTTCCTTGTGCAGACAACTAGCGTTGGCATCTCCCATTCTCCAACATGACCCTGTCATGAACAACTCAGCCTGCAAGTGCAGCATCATGAGTATGATGATTGGTTGCGGCAGTTTCACAAGGTTTAGATAACTCACGCTCATCATTATTGCAGCTCATGCAACAATGTGAAACTGAAACAAGTACATGAGGTAAGCAACTCTAAGGCCTCCTTATTTATAAACCTGGTCGCGAATGGAAATCACAGATTGATTAATTAATTATAAAAAATTATAGTACATTTGATAATTGGGAGAATTCCAATAAATATGGCTGAAATATACTTATACTTTTAACAAATTCTTCATGAGGCCATGCCCATGAGGCTTAATTTAAGATTTTTGAATGTTGTCAAATGACTAAAATGCCTCTCTTTAATTAAAAATGGAAATTAATTATTTTACTCTTCCCAAGTAAGTAATCTCTCATCTCTTATGATGATTTTTTAGGAGTAAAAAATACAAGTAATTTTATAGTGTTTAAAATTTGTATATATCACTAAAAGCTTCAAAAATACTCTAATAAAACATTTTTAATTACAACATAAATAGCCTTGAAATAAATATTTTTTTTTAATTTTTTGTTGGTAAATATTTATTTTAAGATTTGAAAATATCTTAATTGCAAGAACTATTTAATCTTGTGTTCTTAGAATTTCGTTAGTTTTATTTACTCAAGCGATTCCAATCCCGAAACGTTATTTATAAAAACTTAATTTAAATATTAGAGGTTGATGGTTCACCGGGATTTATTAGTTATTACAATAATCTTAAATAGTTAGTACTTGTAGTTCCAGGCCTGATCGGTTCTCCTCATCATCGACTGATCATAAAGATAAACTTTGAAACATTTTAATATATAAATGATATGAAATTGGAAAAGAAAAAAATTTGTAAAGAGGAAAAGTGAACGTAGCTATCCATATAATATATAAAAATGTGACGTAAATATATAACAACCACGAAATCAAATTTATCACGATATAATATATTTTATAATTTATCAAACTTTTCATCGTGACAAAGTGATTTATTGTGTAAGTTTTTGGGTGTGTTAAAGTAGTCAAATTTCCAAGTGGTGGGCACTGTCTATTAAATATTCGTCATTTCATGAAGAGCTCTATTTTATTAGTTAAAGTCACAACAGATATTAATCTCCCCGGCCCACCCTTTTCCACTGCTGTGTCTATCAATGCAGTTAGGCGTTGGCATACAAATTAGATAGATATGAAATGATAAATGAAAGGATATTAAATTAGATGAAAATAATGAATAATCTATTTTTCTCCTTTTAAAAAATAGCGAAAAATGCAAATCATGCTGACATTATTAAAACTATTTTATCTCCCTTCTTCTTCTTCTTCTTGTTTTTTTTGGTGATGCCCCCTTGTTTTATGAGATCGCCATACCTAACACGGACTTAATAATATACAGTGTCCACCATATATGATGAACAGTGTTCATTATCGATTTATGAGAAAACAAAATTTGTGGAATATGTATAACAATCTTTTGAATTATTTCTCCTAATTCCACTAATACAGACACCACATATAGCACTGGGGCAATGGGCTCCCCCCCCCCCCTCTTTTTTAATTTTTTGGGACTTTTCATGCAGATAGTGGAGGATACAGAAGAGTTTAGTCAATTACTCAATTGCCTATAAAGCTCCCATGATACCTTTTATGACGTTTAGTTAACCAATTCTTAATAAAAATTATTTGTTAGATGAGTTTTGTAAATTAGTTAAGAAATTTTATAATCAATAAGAGATGCTAAGTGGAAAAAAATTAATACTTTGGACCAAACATGTTACATTATGAATCATATGGTAAATTCTTATAATAAAAACAAAAAGGAGTTAGTACTAGTATGATTGTATACACATATATAGGTATTATTTTCATTCAAAACGTTTTGGGTCAGAACAAAATAGACCCTTTCGAAAGTTAAAAAAATGAAAAACAAAAATTAAAAAAAAAAAACTTCTTTACTCACATTTTATGATCTTTTTGTAACCTTTTCCAATTTTTTTTATTTAGCCTGAACAAATAGACCCTTACGAAATTCCAATATTTGTAGCGAAAAAGATGGATATAATTTAAAATAAGACTCAAACAAATAAAAATATAAAAGATATAATAAATTAACGATAAAACTGTATTAAATTAATAATAACGTAATAATAATCAATTTTATTTTTATAAATAAATGACACAAAATTTGAAAAGAAAATGAAAATTCTGTAAAGAGGGAAAGATGAACGTGAATATCCATATCTTACTTCTAGTCTTTAATATAAGAGTTAGTTAGAAATTAAATTTGATTATAAATATAGGACCACAATGCCTTTTGTTCTCAAAATTTGTAATTCATTCTCTAAAGTATCAATATTAATTATACATGTTGAGGGATTTCCATTCAAAGTTAGTCATGATTAAAAGAGATA